CTGGTCTTAACAAAATTTAGGCATCCAGGAATATGGGTACTGTGGTGGGAGTGGAGAGAACCTGAAGAATGGAGAGGGGAGTCAGTATTTTATAGCAAAAAGAACAGGGAAATAAATGGTAGCTTTTACCTGTGTTTACCAGAACAAATTACTTCACTTCCTAAGACCTCAATTTCTTTATGAATTTAAGCAAGGTGGCCCAGGCCAGTAGTTCTGTGTGTTTTTGAGTTCCTCAAAACAGTACCTTATAGGTGGCACGTTTGTTGATGAAGAAGTGGAAGAGAAGGAATAGATGTCAAGTTCTGCAGTCTGTTCTAAGCTATAATGATCTTGTAATCGGTATAACGTAGGATAGAGTTGGCTTTTCTTTTTTGTTTCAAGAGCCTCTCTTCCTTGGGTGCTCATCCTTGCTGTCCTGGCCTTCAGGTCTCAGATGGTGATATTACATCCTCTGACTTTTACTACCTACCCTTTGTAATAATTCAAACTTATTTTCTGTATATGCAATATCCCAGATTTGCTAAGTCAGCAAATTTGGTGTAGCATTTTTTTTGTTTAGTTAAAAATTTGTTTACATACACTATGTTCATGTAAGGCTTGTTACATGACAGTGTTAGTACAGATACTATATGCTATCTAGAAGATAGCAATCCCTGTTTCATGATATCTTTTGGTCTTCCTTATGTCTTAAAATTAAAAGTTGATCATTTTATTACATATTTTAACAATATCCAATTTTAACATGATAAATGTTGACAATATTTCACAGTTTAACAACGCTTCTAATATTTAGTGCTTCTCTAATACTTTTCTTTGGTGTTAGCCTGTTTGCATCATTTGGTCTTCTATACTAAAACTATGAATTCTTTTCGTTTGGTGTCTATACTAAAACTAAAAATTTTTAAACTTGAGTAAAGGGAGAAAATATTTTCTTTGATTTTTCTTCCGCTTATCTTTTTGAAGCTCCTTTCTTCATCATTTTTCTTGTTAGCCATATTTTACCTGTATTTGTCTACAGGCAAGTGCTCTTACTAATTTTCTTTTGAAGCCTCATACTGTATAGTCTGTCTGTCTCTCTCTCTTTTTTTTTTTTTTGCTGAGGAAGATTCACCCTGAACTGACATCCAGTGCCAATCTTTCTCCTTTTGAATATGAGCCGCTGCCACAGCATGGCCACTAGCAGACAAGTGGTCTGTGTCTGGCAACTGAACCCAGACTGCCAAAGTGAAGTCTGGCGAACTTAACCACTAGGCCACCAGGGCTGGCCCAATCTTATGTCTTTATGCCCTGCTTACAGAAAAATGCAAACCAGCTTTTAAGGAGATCCAAGAGAACAAACACCATAGCCAAGACCACAGAGAAACTTCTGTGCAAACACTTGATCAAAATTAAACTAAAACCATGGTTGGACCTTTTTCTTCCTTTGGTATAAGGAAGCATTCTTTGTGGTGGCCTCTGGAGCTGCATAGATTAGTAATGCTGGAAGTACTCTTGTCTCTCAGACCTTTGTTGGGCTGGTGGGGATGCAGGGAGTTGCTACTTGGTCTCCCAGAAGAGATTCCCAGTGAAATAGGATGGCTAGTGTACCTATTCTCGTAGTGTGCAGCATATTGTAAAAACATTCTGATTCATTATAACTCTGATCCTTTATGGCAATGTCTTAACCCAAAATTATTGACTGTTCACAAAAGCTTTTAAGTTGTGCTCTCTCCACCCCTAACTGACACACATTCCTGTCCTGAACATGGACAGCTTATACTCTGTGACAACATACTGATTTTAATAATGCTACTGAAAAACAATAAAGAAGGTAAATTTTCTATAATTATATTTGCAAAATCCATTCTAAATAAAGAATTTAATATAAGCCATGTTATAGTTTGCCCATTTAAGGTTAACTGAGAATTGACTGTTTCAGTCTATCAACGAAATATCTCATTTTCATGGAGAGTAGTTTGAGGTGTTAGAAATTAAGAATATATGGCTTACACATACGTGTTGAAGATCAGTTATAAAAGTATACAGTTGTATAATTTTGTCTTCACAACTTTAAACATTTGAATGCTCTGTAAGTAAAAATGATGTTAACTGTCCAGTGTTCATCTGATTGGCAGCAATTCAAAATTCGACCTTTGGGATAGATCCTTGCTCACCTTAGTTGACACTGACTTGAACCATAACTGATGTATTTTGAAAGTTCTTTTTTAACCTATTAGCTAAACAAATAATGAAAATTATTGCTGGGTGATACAAATAGCACAAATTTATAAGCATCTTTCCGTATCTGCTTTAGTTAACTATGACAGGTAAAGGAGATGGTATCAAGGCTGCTCTGTGGGAAACTGCTCCACGGTTACAGAGTTCAGTTGATTTTTTCTGTTTCAAGTATACAAATAGGATCTGTAAATGGCCTATTGATTATGCCCAACCAAAAGGACAGCAGTGCAGAATAAGCATGAGTCATATTTTTCATATTTTCCACCATGAAAGTGCCTTTTTAACATCAGGCAATATCATTACCACTACATGATAGTAATGCTTCTGCTATGTTATTGTTGTGAAAATTTGATAGACCACTGTGATTCAACAGTACCTTCAAGTAACTTTATACTTTATTAATCCAGACACCACTTGTGCACATTTAAAGCAACCTATTAATTCAGTTTTCTCCCTACGATAGGGAGAGTATATGTCGCTTTACCTGTTGTTCTCCTTGTTGCTTGAATAGGTAAAACCTTTCCTCACTAGCATTTGTGAACCGAGGTCTTTGGTCATTGACATACCCAAGTAGCAGCTAAGTACAATGAAGGCATTTGAAGGAAGAAGGAAGAATTTGTTACACAACAGAGTACAAACAGCCTTTATTTTGTACTTGGTTTTTTAGTAAATGCCCTTTGAATTTGATTTTACTTTAGTACAGTTGATGTTAAAGAGATTTCTCAAAGAAAAGATTTAAAATAAACTCTTGGTTGTTTCCTGCTTAAAACAGTTTGCTGTTTCTTTTCTGTTGATAATGTTTGGTTACATACTTAGATTTTTTATGGTAATTTTAACATCAGGAGCTAGGCCTTGGTTTACCCAAAGGATAGATGTACGTGCCTTCATCATAAGATGGAGTTGAAATTGCATTTTGTCTTAATTGCTAGAATTGTCTATCAGTGAGGGAAAAAAGGAATGTGAAAAGACCTTAAGTTAATCAAACAGTTGAAACTTTATGCAACTTTCATGAAATTTCTACTTGAGCCATCCCTGACTTAGTTCAAATTGGGGACCAGTCTTTCAAAATGATGCATTATTTATGAGTTTTACCGTCACAGGTCTTCAATACCTTGATCATCATCATCATAAAAAATGTGAAGCAAGGAGCAGGACTGTTTAAAAATGGCTCTGAGTGTTCGTTGAGTTGCCTCAACAACGAACAGTAGAACCAGGTGAACCATCTAGTACATTCCTTCCATTCCATTCTACCAGAGAAGTGTGCGTACCCACGTTTAACTTAGTTCTAGACTGGTGGCTTCCTTATGCCTGCAGCGGCCCTGTGATCTCCAGATGCTGGCCAGGTGCTTTCCAGCTGTCACCAAAATTGAGAATGCTTGTTCCTCTGCTGATAAGAGAGCGCTCTTGTTCTCACACTGTAAGGGAGAAAACCAGGGCAGCGCTTCAAGAGGGGCGCTATTAGAAATTAGGGGATACAAACCAAAAGGGTCAAAAAAGGAGAATTATAGTCAGTTATAATAAGCAAACAAGTTTTGTTTTGTTTTGTTTGTTATAAAGCAGCTTCTGCCACAGTGCAAATAGGCCTTCCAGAGGACCATGTCATTTGTCTTGCAGTATTATAGACAGTACCTGCAGCATACAGGTCATTAGAAGATACGAAGCTGGTTTGTCACCTAAGATCTTGTCTGCGAATTATGGCCCCTCTTTTTGACGATGCAGTATTAACACTTGAGAGTAGGAGGCCTGACCTGATATTTGATTAGATATGTAATCAGAATTTTGACATTCATTGGAGATTAACAAGGGGAGCAGGGTTCTGATACAAAATGTGTTGTGTCGTTGGCTACAAATCAGTTGATTGTGGTGTTCGTATGGCAGCTACCTAACATACCCTGTTCAGGTTCACTAGTAGCTTTTTAAGTGTTGTGCTCTGGAAGAGAGGAATCTTTAATATATTCTATATAGGTTAAAATCTAGAGAAGATGATAATCTGGAGCATTTTCTGTGTTCAAAGGAGGTTTCAGAACATCGACCACGTAACAGAAAAATTAGACAGGCCTTGAAAACTGTTTATGAAAGAAGTGACTGTTCACTGCACGGCACCAGAAGTCAGGAAGGGCCTGCAAAGGTTTTGTTGCACAAAGAGCAGAAACAGTATCTGCTTAAAAGAGTTGTAAAGTCCACATTGAAAAAGCGTTAAAGACTAAGTAGTTACTTATTTATCTGTAAATTAATAGAAAGAGTGAAAAACTGGTTGAAAATATATGTGTCTTATTAGCAACAGGAAAAACTTTTCAGTTTTATCTTTTAAATTGGATTTTTAAGTGAAAGGAAGAAAAGATCTTGGTACATGTAGAATGGTACATCCAGGTGTAGAAACAACTTGATAAAAAACTGATTTGATTAGTAGAGATGGCAAGCAGGTGTGTAGAACACTTTTTTTAAAACTTACATTGTAAGTCATCATGTTTCGCCAAGATTAGTATTTGGGTCCCCCCGCCCCCCGCCCCCAACTCAGTGTAAGGACAAAGTTCTCTTGTGCTTCCTTATCTCCCACATTCTTTTGTAAGTGAGCTAGATAGAGAATATCATAATGGGTTGCCTCACTTAAAGCAGATAGTCTTGGCATCATAGAGTTCTCTTTTTTTCTGTATTTTAACAATCCAGTAATAAATATCCAGTGAATGCTTCTCAGTAGAGAGCTAACTAATAATCATTGTGGAAAGCATGTACTTGTAGTGCGCAGCAGTGTTAAATGTTTACGGTTTGCTTTCTTTTTGTAGAACACAAAGTCATTATAGTGGGGCTGGATAATGCAGGGAAGACCACCATTCTTTATCAGTTGTAAGTATGGGTGTTTGTTTAAACAGTTTTCATTATTTTAGTTATTGGAAGTAATTTTGTATAATTAGTAAGAATGAGATACCATTACAATATAATGGAAAAACTTACACGTATGGTTTTGTATTTTACCAAATACGAAATTTATCAAGTGAATAAGACAAACTGTTCTGTTTGCTAAGGCCTCCCCAAAGACGTGTCATTTTCTGGCCTTGAAAGAAAGAATTAATGTTAAACTAAAATAAACCAAGCACAAGTTATAATGCTGGAGTGAGATGATAAAGTGCATTTTGCTTAGTTCTTCCCACACTGAGGTTCATGTGAATAGATTGATGTTCTTAGGAAGCAGTTGCTACTAATAGGTCCGCTGCTGTTGAACCAGACTTGTCAGATCAGAAGAGGTGAAGATGACCCCTGAAAATATTGCATTAGTAGCTTGCAACAGGGAGAGGCTTCAGACTTTCAGAGAAATACATTAATACTTGAAGGATATTTTAACAGCCCATCAATCTACTTGTCAAAGAACCACCCATTATCCTTTCAGTGCCAGTGAAATGATCCTTGTTAAGCAATGGAAACAGTCTCTGTCCCAAGCATTTTAACCAATAGTTACAAAGTACAGTGCACCATTGTGTGGTTCTTATCTCTTCCCACCTCATCTTAAGTGTTTTCAGCCAGCAGCTCTCCAGAAATACTGCACTTAAGAGGTGCTTAATCTATTCTTCAGGTACTTTGCTAAAAAACTACTAATTTATGGCTTGTTATTTCAGAGTTGAATAACTACTTGTTTTTATTTAAAACGTCATTCATTGGTCATTATGTTGTTTAGTATGATTTGGCCTTTAAACACCAAATATAAACTTTTCAGAAACCTGTCATGGTTGTTGAAACAACTTTGCATATAGCTTAAAAATATATATATAAAACCCAAGAGAGAGTTGCAAGCTTCCTTCAACACAGTACTGGCATGTTATAGGCAAATACATATTTCCTGAATGAATGAATGTGGCTTAACCCATGATGATGGTAATAAATGTGGTATGAGCATCTGTGTTCTAAATATTTGTATAGTTAATTTTCATTACAATTTTCATTTGCCTGTAGCCTGTCTTTTAAAGACTGTAGTTTGAGTCTGAACCAATTTTTATGACTGAACCAAGTCTTAGTTTTCTCACAGTCTTCAAAATTGTAGATAGCCTGCTATAATGTCACAGTCCCCTAGAAACTTGCTCTTTCAGGATGGGGCATCGCTTCTGCTCTGATAACAGGGCATGGTGGTATTGGAATTTTGGCCACCGAATTGCAAACTCACACCACACGGTTCCCTTTTATCCAGATCAAACTTGTAGTTTATTCCATTCAAAAACCAGAAAACAGTCTTCCTTCAGGAGTTGTTCTTTGTCTAGATATTTGTTTGCACAAATGTTCTCCAAGGTTCTATCTTTGATACTAACGATTACTATCATTGACACAGATAAGGAAGCTTGATTCATATTAAAAATACAGATAAAAAATACAGATAAAACTTGCTTCAGGTTCTCAAGACTTACAACCGAGTTTTTATGGTGTCTGTCTTTCAACAGCTTAATGAATGAAGTGGTTCATACATCTCCAACCATAGGAAGCAATGTGGAAGAAATAGTTGTGAAGAACACTCATTTTCTTATGTGGGATATTGGTGGTCAAGAGTCACTGCGGTCATCCTGGAACACGTATTACTCAAACACGGAGGTATACTAAAATTACTTCTGAATTTTAATGAAAAGAACCAAAGAGTAAACCCAGAAAATAGATAGGCTGTATTTAAGGCATATTGACAGTTGCCTTTTAATAAGATCCTTTTTTCTAAGGAATTTGAGGTTTTCAAATGAATGAGAAGAAGCAGTAGAAAGAGTAATGGAAGCTATTATTGGAGTGCTTATTGTTGTGCAGGCTGTCTCAGGTCATCCTCACCATAATTCTGTAGTGTCACCATTGTTGGAGATATCAGACGCTAGGATAAATTACATAACCTTTCTCAGCTTTATAAGAGGCCTTGGTTAGGGGAGGAATAAACTATTTTAAGCATAATTTAGTACATGATTTTCAAATAACATAAATTGAACATTCCAAGTTTTGGTGAGATAATATTTTAAATAAAAAACAAATGGAGGGGCCAGCCCTGGTGGCCTAGTGGTTAAGTTCAGCATGCTCTGGCCTGGGTTCAGTTTCTGGGGGCACACCTACAACACTTGTCTGTCACTGGCCGTGCTGTGGCAGCGGCTCACATACAAAAAGACGAAGATTGGCAACAGATGTTAGCTCAGGGCGAATCTTCCTCAACAACAAAAAAAATGGATTTGCAGGCCACCCCCTAGAAGTCTCTGTCACTGACTTCATTATTTTACTAGTTCAGAGCCAACCTGGGGAACAGTCTGAAGTATCTTCTATCTCTGTTTTCATTTCTTCTTGGAGGCAGACTTTTTTTTTAAACCATGCAGTGCTGTTGAGAGGTTTTCTTTGAGAACACTAATGTAAAATTGCATCCATAATTTTTCTTCACAAAGAAGTACACCTAACCAATTATTTTTTCTAAAATGAAGCCTCTTAAAACTTGAGTGGTTTTTGTTGAGAGATGAGTGTGGAGGAGGTGGGGGTGGGATGCAAGGAATTTTTGGTGAATAAGTTGCCTTTATAAATTAAAAAAATACATATTCCTCTAGGTTCGTATTGTAATGGCGTATGTGTATATATTCTAGTGCAATGTATGACTAGTCAAATCAGGATGGCATGTTGTAGATATTTAGCAGTGTGGTAATACTTAATCTTTTTTATTTGCAGGGGAAAATAGGTTGGTAAGCAAATGTTATGGTTATAGGTTAGCTTAATATAGATTTCTACAGTAAAATAACATTCTGAAACTATGTTGGACAGTAGGGGAAGAACATGTTAGCATGTGACTATTTAAACAGCTTAGCTGTTAATACTTTTTCAAAGCTCATAATAAACTCTAGTGTGAAAGAGCAGCTCTCTTTGATGACTAGGTCAGAGTTGATTCTAGCTGATCCATGTGTATTTATAGCATTACAAAGGGGTAGTTTTTGAAATTACTTAACCTCTAGAAGACTTAGCATGGTCCAGAAAGAAATACATTATTACTGACTTGATTTGCATGAAATGTTCTTTAATAAATTATATCTGTATGAATTTCAAAATGACTACAAAGAACCTTTGGGCTTTGTTGCAGCACACCAGTATATACAGCACGTCGTATTTACAATTGTAGATTCCAGGGAGGGATCTTAGCTATGTAGTGTTTCCCTGACTACTTTGTTCACACTTGTGTTGCTTCTTAAATTCTTTCCATTGAGGAGTCATCCCAAAGCTGAAATGTCTCCATTAAAATACGAGGAGTTCCAACTGTTAACTAATTCCTTACACCTTCCTTTCATTAACTTCCAAAGTTACTTCCTCATGTTCTGTGCATTCTAACTTTGCTGTGTTTCTTACATTTATCCCTTCTGTTTTCTTTCCAAGGCCATCTCAGTTTATATTCAAATTACTGTAGTTGTCTCTTTGCCTGACCTTAAGGTCATGTGAATAATCTGATTCTGCCCTACCTTGGCTCTATTTTACATCACTCCTGTAACCCTTAACACCATTTAATCTCATTTCTTAACTTTTCCTTCTGCATAAGATGTTCAATTTAAGGGCCCTTTCTTACTATATCTTCTTATTTTTCTTACCAAAGATGCTTTTGTTTTTTATGAGTAGGACCCACCTTTTTTCACCATTACCAACAGCCGTCCCCAGTTCTCTTTGTTCTTCTCTCCTTCAGTTTCATCTGCATCATCTTTAGCGTATTATAAGCATATATGTTTCTATTTAGCACATTTTTCCTTGTGCTTTTATTGTTAATATTGTTATATAACAATGTCTTATTCTTTATTAGTTTCTTAAAAAATGTGTTTCTCTTTTTCTTTCAAACTAGTTATGTACTTCTTTCTAATAGTCAGGAGACTATCTTAAACATACATAATTATTGATTGCTTAAATGAATGATTATAGGGTACTTTAAAGTTTTAATGAGCCAGCCCTAATGGTTTAGTGGTTAAAGTTTGGGATGCTCTGCTTTGGCGGCCTGGGGTTGGTTTCCAGGCGCAGAACCATACCGCCTGTCTGTCAGTAGCCATGCTGTGGCAGTGGCTCACATAGAAGAACTAGAAGGACCCACAACTAGAACTTACAACTATGCACTGACTCTTTGGGGAGGGAAAAAAAGAGAGAGGAAGACTGGCAACAAATGTTAGCTCAGGGCAAATCTTTCCCAGCAATAGATAAAGTTTTAGTGAGTTATTTAAATTACTGTGACTTTCTTTTTAAAAATTCCATTTTTATTACCTGCATTTTAAAATAAATCTTAGTATTACAAAGTATTATGTATTCAGATGTCATTTTTTTTCATAAACTTGGGGATGGTTTTTATTTGTTGAAGTTTTATTTGTTGAAGTTAGGAGTTATTTTCTTACATTTGGACTTTACTGCTTGATGCAATTCAGTGTAATATAAACTCTTTATGATGAAAAAGCAGTAGACTGTTATAGTCCTGACGATGCCATGTGAAGAAAGTACTTCTGGTCTATCACTTGAGAGTAATTTTGCAGAAAACTTCAATATCTCATTCCGTTTTCTTTCTTTTTAATTGTCTTCTAGTTCATCATTCTGGTTGTTGATAGCATTGACAGGGAACGACTAGCTATTACGAAAGAAGAATTATACAGAATGTTGGCTCATGAGGTAAATTTTGAAAGTAAACATAAACACTGGAATAAGGCATCTGTATACTGGTTTTGCTCTTTTACAAAGATTAATGTGCTCTGCTGTTATTTCTTAACAGAGTTTTATGTGGTATTAAATTGATGAAGTCTTGAAATCACAAATTTTCATTACTTTTTCAAACTTAAACCCAACATATTAATGTGTAGACTACTACTCTTATTGAAAAGATTTTTCCGAGTTAAAACTATTTATTCATTCTTTAAAAAGTCTGATAAATTGAGGCCAGAAAGAGGAAAACTTGTTTTTTCCCCAAGAGTTTATAAGAACTCAAAATTCTTTACTGAATAATTTGAGATCACTTAATTCAAAATATTTCAGATATACAAAAGACTAAGTAATAAAACACATTCATGCACTTATCATTCAACATAAGATATTAAATATCTTATGAGACCAGACTGGAGAATCGGATTTCCTTCCTTTCTCTCTCAGAGAATCCTAAAAGAATTCCACTGTCCTAAAAGTAATGATTATCATTCCTATGCATATTTTTGTACTTTTTCTACATGTTTATGAACCTGCCAGTTGTACAGAATATTATATTCCATGTTCATAAAATTTTATATAATGGTATCATATATATATCTTTCTGTAACTTGGTTTTGGGGTTTTTTTTTTGCATACCATTATGATTTCTTCATGTTAGTACATACAACTTTATTGGTTCATTCCTTTTAACAACTACATAGTGTTCCACTATATGACTTTACTACAGTTGATTTGCTCTTCTCTTAATGAACATTTAGGCTGTTCCTGATATCTTGATAGTATAAACAATGCTACAGTGAACATGAATGAATGAGCTTAGTTTATACAAAGACTAATAAGTATCGCCCAGCCCTCACCCTCAGTACTGTCCTTTAAATTTTGGAGAAACTCTGTAGTATGTAGCAACAGGTTGCCATATTTGCCCATTAGAATATTGCTTATACAATTATAAGTCCATATTTAAGATTCAGGTTTATTTTACTTTTAATTTGATCCCTTTGGCCAATGATAGAAAAATAACTTAGTTATCCAGCTTATGTTAATTAATCTACCTTTGTTAGAGTGAATCATTGAATCATGGTTATTTAGAAAATTTATTTTTATTTCAATAAAATTCTGAAATTAAATATTAGTACCTCATCATTTTAAAGTAGAGGAATTTTATTATAACCGTCCAGTAGGGCATATTTCATCTTCCTGCTGCATTAACTTAATTGAATTGTGGTATTTCATGTATTAGAAATACTTCTTATTGATTGCAGGATTTACGGAAGGCCGGAGTTCTTATCTTTGCAAATAAACAGGATATGAAAGGGTGTATGACAGCAGCTGAAATCTCCAAATACCTCACCCTTAGTTCGATTAAGGATCATCCGTGGCACATTCAGTCTTGCTGTGCCTTAACAGGAGAAGGGTAAGTGCTCATCAGTATGGGGGGCAGGTATGACTTCTTTCAAATTTCTTTCAACTTTTTTAAGCCAACTTGTTTTTTCTCTTTAATCCTATTCCTTTTTTGTTCATAATTAAAGATAGTTTTTATATTGTGTCTCAGGCTTACAGGGTTGAAGTAATTTTAGTCAATTACTATTGTTAAATTTCAGTTTGTTACTGACAAATTTTTTGTAACCTTTAGTATAAACAGAATGTTTTGCCAAAAAAAGACAGTAACAAACTTTTGAATGAAGTTTTCACAATCCAGATTTTTAGTTTTTATTCATTTCTTGCGTTCATCATTTACTAACTGGGAAAAAACTGTAATGTCGCCTGAATTAAAGAGGAAACTTCAAAGAAATTTCACGTTTTCTGCGAGGGCTTCATTAAGCCCAAGCTCCCAGCCTGCCACTAGAGTATATCTCCTGTATTATCAGGAGTCTTTTTGGGACGCATACTTCTAGACAATCAACATTTGAGACAAACACCATTATAGTGTCTTCCTTTTCTGAGAACTTGAGTTTGGATGTAGTAGGCCAAGGAGAACCCAGAGGTTTATACATGGATTACCCAGTTTATTTCCAGGAACTTGTTTATCCTCAAGTCAACCTGACCTTCTAGTTTTTCTCATACTAGAAATAGCTTGTATAACATAATAACTGTATGTAGACTTTTTTGACCTGTACTTTTAAGACTGGGGCATGAGCATTCGTGCTTTAGAATTGAGCAGGGTAAGGTGAAGTTCCTGTTGTCTTTCTCTAGTGGTTTCAGTTCTAGTTAATCTTCAAAGGTGGGAAGTATTTGCAGTCTTGATGGCAAAACCACCAAAGCTGTATCTTCAAGATGAGACTGACGCAATTTCCCACATTACTCAACTGGTTAAGATCATTTTAAGTGAATCTCCCTCTTAAAAATTCCACTTACTGTAGCGTCACCTGCTTATTGTCACTTAAGTGTATAAAGAATTATTGTAGTTATCAACCTTTGGATAAGACTTAAAAATAGTAAGTATGCTTTCAATTTTTGACTATAAAGTTTTTCCTTTTGAAAATACTTCTGTCTTTTGTTGCAGGTTATGCCAAGGTCTAGAGTGGATGACCTCCCGGATTGGTGTGAGATAACTCTTTTACCCGAAAGAGACTCCTCTATTTATTCTGTGACATGAACATTTTTTCCTAGTACCTTTGGCTGCTAAGGCAGCAGCATGTTTAATTTATAACAACACAAACCTCTATGAGCAACACTTGAATCAAGTGCAGCTGAACTGGAACATAAAAGATTTTTTCTTAACTTTTTTTAATGCACTAATCTTCAGTTGGATGAACATTATGTATAATTGTTTTCAGCACCAGAATTCTTCTGACTGCTTCTTTAATTATTCAGTGACTGCCGTGGAAGAAATGTTTGTCATATGTTTAATGTTTGCTGAAGTATTGTAATAACTTTAATGACCAATTTCTTTCACTTCTTGATCATCTCCTTCTCCCACCGGATAATTAACTGGTTTGACAATGTAGTAGTGATCATCAGGTACTGCTTGCAAACTTAACCAGCACTAAAGATTTGCTTCCCATAGAAACCACATATCTTTTGGACAGAACTTATTATAAAGAAATCTGCCTAGAAGATATATGTAAGGAAGACTAACAGAACTGCCTGTAAGTGAGTTAACTTCCCCCATTGTTGCAAGTCATGGAGTAATTTTAAGTTACTATTAGCACAGAAATCAAGTAGGCTATTTATCTAAAAGAATTAAATTCACTTTTCTGCCTACAACTTGGGATTAGTTTTGGTTAAAAACTAATCAAGGTGAAATATTGATTTGAAAGCCCCACTTTGATAGTAAATATTTTGGGTAAATCTGGTATTTTAAGAATGTCGCATTATTCAATGCATATAATAACTTTCGAAGTTACTGAAGCATACCCGCACTAATACTAAAACAAGACACTTGGAGTATATTTTACTATCAGTTTCAGACATCTTTATCAGCAAAGTATTCAAGTATTCCATTTGCAAGGACATTGCATCTAAAGTTTTGGGTAATAGCTAATGCAGAAGTGTAAACAGTTCATTTTATTTCTTAAAATTGGAAATTGTGTCTATAATAGTATTTCTACCACCAGCAGTATGTTACTTAAAAAACCACGTGGCTTTCCTTGAATCTGTCTGAGGTTGTAGTGTAATAGGCTTGAAACAATTGCCATCTTTGTGGTTATGCCTCTTGTTCTAAAATCTTTCGCTGGATTATAGGAAACTACTGAATTTGATCCTACCATTTAGAATATTACTGTAAGACTCAAAGTTAATACACTAACAACTTAAAAAGTAGGAAGAAAAAGTCATAATCTATCAAGAGTTTATTTATTAGGTAGCACTAAAAAGTTTTCAAGGCATTGTCTAATATGAAAACAGTGAACACCTTAAGAGGGAGGACAAGTATTGTAATTTTGATCCTCTTTGTTTCAAATGTGTGATTTTGCTATAATGAAAGGGATAAAATGCTTGCTTAGAGAATAATACTTCATTTTTTGTAGTATTTGTTTTCATTTGGGTCAAAAATAGGATTCAGTGTTCATAAGAACATCAAAACATCTGTTCAAAAATGGAATTTTAATTTTAATATTTTTTTATTGTAAGTTGGTTTAAATTTTGCTCTGTTTTCAGGTATAGTTGATTTATTATATTTAGTCTCATTAATTTAGTTGAGCGTGGTAACACTTTTCTGATTTCTCTTTAGTGGTAGACACCCTAGAACTGAGAAATAGCCGGAGGAAAGCTTTCTGGATTTGGGGAACTAGTTGTTTATTAACCTTGTTTTGAACCTTTTTCTTAGTGATTCTGTACCAGGTAGAGGATAAATTTTGTTTTTATTTAACCCATAATCAAGGACATGAGAGAAAAGCAGACATAAACCAATATGGATGCTTTGTGGTGTGTATGTGGTGGTGGTGGGGTCGGGGAGGTGGGAGGAATTAGGAAAATATCATTTACCTAAAGCACACTTTGCTGGAATTTCTATCTTGGTTTTATAGTTTAGCTATAAATACTGAGGGTAATTTGCTTAACTCTGTCCTGAGAAAAAGTGTATTGGATACTCCTGTATTCGTTCTTATTATGAAATTTGTATCTTGTATCTAGTAAGATGGGCTGGCTCAATTTTCTTCTATCAAATTATATGGTTATTTTTTATATTACCACATCAGCATTATATTAAAAGTGTTTTTAATAGTTGATTGTATTTTATCAAACAACTAGTATGGACTCAAGTTTTCTATTTAATTTTTAAAACAATTTATTTTATTTTCTAAATCCTTTTTTAAACACATTTTGTTAGTTTTCGGTTAGAAATGATTTATGTAAGCTGTGTGTTGAAGATGAAATTGGCATTCAGCTAGATTTTGTGCCAACAATTGAGAGAGGTTCAATTAGGAAATTCATGTAAGAATTTTTAAAAGTATTTTATAGGTTCTCATTAGATATTTCCTGTTACAGTAGTGTAAAAACTGATTATCCTTTACTCCAAGAGAATGTTTTGACCCAAGCAGGTATCTAATACTAAAGCATCAATTCTGACATTCATTGTAATAAGATACTGTCTGATAGAAAAATGTAAATTTGTGATTAGTGCCTTTATTCATGTTTTGAATGAGTTCTCAATTTTGTACTATACCTGTTCTTTAGAAATCAGATTAGCGGCCAATTAATTTAACAAGGACATAATTCCAGTTTCACCCTCTCCGTCAGCCCTTCAGTTGCCTAGCAAAGTTTCTAGTAAGTAGTGAAAAGCAAGGGACTCACTCACATTGCTTTCAGGAAATTATTCTACATTTTGTTTTAATTTGAGGATGAGGAAACGAAATTTTAACAAATCTTTTCAATATGTTATTATAACTGAAATGTAATCTCTACTCTTGTAAGTTCAAATATGACATTTTTCTTAATTTTGAACATGTTACATTCTTCATATTTAAACCCATTGTTCTTGAAGCCCATTCGAGAACTCTTTTAGAATTAACGGCCTCTTTTATATGGGAACATACTGCATCTTTTGTACTGTTAGTGTAATCTAATTCCTCAAAATCTGACATAGCATGTACATAATCTATTGAAAAACTGATGATTAAATATATAATTTTTGCTTTTAGGTTCTGTGTTAGTATGCTTAAAGGTATAACTTTATTCTATATTCATTAGAAGTAAAATAATAAATTCGAGTTTCATTGTTAAAAATAATTTTTAAATGGGTGGCGCCCCTATAGTGATAGCCATTTTGATTAATAATAAATTAGTTTTCATTATCTATAGCATAAAGAGAAAATAATTATTTTCCTGTGGAAACAATGAGTGATATAGGCAGTGCTCTAAACAGCATTCTCTGAAGAGTTATGGGGAATCACAAAGCAAAGAAAATTTTAAAGAAAACAGTGAAAGCTTTATTTTTTAAAAGAAATCTTTTTGGTGTAGTATCTTAGGATGAATTATAAACAGAATTGTTTCTGACTAGCACTCATTTAATTCTTAACTATCTAAAACCATATCGTTAGAAAAAAATGCACTGTTATTCTGCCTATAGATGGACAAATTCCATTGACCTTTCTCTTTTAAGATCAACATTATGAATCTAATTTTTCATTTATGTCTTTAGAGCCAACATTTCACATCCAGTTCAGTTCTGAAGGATCTTTTCTGTTTTGCCAGGGTTCAGTCACTTCAACATACAGCTGGTAACTTGTGTCTGGTAGGATATTGTGGTGACTGTCTGAAGAAGTGCATTTGAATCTTAATTTGGCTATTTGTCTAGTTGACTTTAGATAATTACTGTCCGTGGCCTTCCTGTTTTTTCCCAAATGAGGAACTTAAACAAACTAGAATTCTAACCTGTCTTTTGGTTTTAAAATTCTGAGTCCTTATACGCTATGTTAAAATTGAAAAACCAAAAATATACTAGCAAACACGTAATATTAAATTCATTTTTATCTCTTTGATTCTCACCTGATTATCATTTCATTTACATGAATACAATCAAATGAAACAAAATATCAGCTAGTGACTGCTACTCAGCTTAAATTGAACTAATAGCTAATGGCACTGCAAAAGAGAAAATAAGCCATATTGCTAAGAAAATATATTGAGCTACTTATATAACACCAGCGTGTGTTGGAAATACTCTCTTCTAGAGAATACGTTGCTCATTTTCCTGGCTTTTACTAGCTAGAAGTGGTTAGTTTGTTCAGAGTTTATTGGCTTCAGATGGCACCCTGAACTCCAGTTGTGTTTGACTTTCCAGTGTTGAAGCGATAGTGCAGCCAGGAGTCAATATTTTACAAATGTCTCTATAAAGCTGAGAGTAGTTCATATTCAAGGTTAATTTTTTTGGTACTGTCTCATCCTTATTCATTTAACATTCCTGTGAGGACTGAAATCCAAAAGTCAGGTTCCCCAGAAGTATTTTTTAAGAGTTCCAGGTGGCCAAGGCTAAATAGAGAAGGCCAGTAAAAAAAAATATTTTCAACTCCTCCGTTTTAAATTTAAAGTAGAAAACAATGTGTTCAACAAACCTAACCCATCTATAAATGTATATGGTTTGGTAAAATATTTGCGAAATGTTAATTTGGAGGTATAGAGGCATAACTAGAAACAAGTCAAAACACTTGATAATAAACGTGGGATAGAAAAATCTTCAAAAAGATATTAAGAGAAAATTTGAATGAAAACAGTGAATTTCTACCATTTAAGGCACTTAAAATTCCTAGAAAATACAATCTTTTACTGTACAACCAGATGGCCTGTATTATTTTTAATGTGGCCAAAGGACTGAAGACTGATCAGGTTTTTAGAATTTGAGAGTGTAGTCACATAGAGGCATCTTTTATATTTTTTTAAACCTATAATCTACATTTTCTCCTAGAAACGGAGAAGTAGTAAAATGTGCCATGCATATTTTTTGGAATAGAAAACAGTTCTAGAAGAATGGAAATGTTCTCTTGCACAAACTTGTAAAATTTTTTAAAATTACCTCATTTTTCAATCCATAAGGTGCTTTGCTGAAGTCTGTGGGATGTTGCCCCATCCCATAAGTAGCCCCTTCACCCAAACTGCAGTTGAAATATGCACAATTCACAGCTAAGGGAGAGCTTTCGTTGGGGATTCTGATTTGTTTTATTCTTACTTAACACCAGCAGGGCTAATGTGGTGTAGCAATCCACATATTGTCTTCATTGAAACACGTGGGCAAGGGCTCAGTCAGTATTTAATTAGTTTAATTAAAATCAAATAAGGGAAAGGAAACCCTAAAATTTGACTGATTATGTTATACTGTGAATATATGTCCATCAGTGTTGGTAAGATGTCAAATGACTATCAGTTGATCTTGGCCATGTCTAATTTATTTGCATATTTTAGCTCTATTCATAAGAGACTATAATCATGTTAATCTTCTTACATTTCCCTCAGGAAATTCAGGGACTATTTTGTTCTCTTGGAGTAAACCGTTCAGTGTAGTTATGAAAACTTTTAGTTTTGATTAAAAAAAGAATTAGCTGTTATTTCATTAAAAGCGTGAAATGACGGTTATGATTTTTTCCAATTATATAATAGTTATAAATTTTATCCTAGTCATCTATTGCACAGAGCATGGTTTAAAAAAAACAAAAACCTGAAAGCAGTGACAGCCTTGCTCTTTCATTTATTCTAATCGAAATATGATATTATAATCACACATTGCCATCTTAACAGAAATTGGTGCTTTAGAGCATTAAAGAGGAAACAGCAGGCCCTGTATAAAACACTTCTTGCCTCAGAATGTAAAACTACTTTAAACTGTCTGTATTTATATTTATGTTCGTTTCTTAAGGTTTAAACACAGACTGTTCTCCATCAAGCTTCAGGCTTTCTGCAAAGCTGTACCAGTGTCTTAGCTAATCAGCTTGGTCAAATCGAAGATGGAGTTAATAAGGCGAAAATTATGAATTGGATCTCTCTGTGAGCCCCCTGGTGTTGTACAGAGAAAAAAATGTTTTTCACACCACAAACTGTGCTTTTTAACCCCACCCAAGCAGCTGAAATGTGTGCTATTGGGCCAATATATAAGCATTAATAAAGAAAATTAAAACAGCAAATAAATTGATGTGCGTTCACACCATCACTTCTTGAAAATGGTTCAAAGCATGTTCTCTTAATGGTGGGGTGGTTTAAAAACATGTTTAAAAATTTTTAATAGCTTCGTTGCTGTCATAAAATGCTTCCTTTATATGTTAAGGTTAGATTGCTGGTAATCATGTTTTTTTATTTCTACAATTATGTTATAATGAGTTGCTTGCATGCCTACTTACCCAAGTAAAAGGATGCTGTTTGCTCTGGAATGTTCATCTTTTAGACAGATTTTTGGCTCATTTGCAATCATGGTGCAATACAGTGTAATGTTCATTTGTTTTCAGTCAACAAGTTTTATTTTTGTCATAATAAATAATTACTTTTCCAATATGACGTGAGCCCAGTGTTTTCTTTTAAAGATAAAAATCTGTTTTAACAGTCTCTTTGTTGCAAGTGATAGAAATCCACCTAACCGAGAGAGAGGAATTTTATCATGAGGATGTGGTTAGGTGGCGGGTGCTCATGGAACCCCAAGGTCAAGGGTACAACTGGATTTCTGGAATAGCCTGGGACCAGAGACCCAGGAACACTGAGGAGAAACCAGGAAGTTATCTTTCTCCTACCCATCTCTTCTTAATCTTTCACTAGGCTGGATTTTTCTGTTTCCTAGTCCACATGGCAGATAATGACCAAATCTACTAGCTCCTGTAGTTTTATCTTTGTACAAGGGAGAGTCAGATTATCAATAGGTTCTTAGTTACAGGTCGGTATTCCCCAGGGAAATTGTTCACTTCCCTGCATTGGGTCAGTTACTCTCTCTGGTCCATACTCTCTCTGGTCCAAATAACTGTGGCCTAGCAGAAGGTACATTTATCAGAGAAGGGGAATCCAAGTGTGTGTGTGGTATAATGGAAATATATTTGATCTTTGTCCCCTGGTCGTGGTACAAAGCTCCTCACGCCCTTGGAATTTCCTGAATGATAGAAGTGTCTTTTGTCATTCGTAAGAAGCCTCTATGGAGTTTATGCTAATGAAGTGACTTAGAGTGGAGCTAAGTGACTACCCTTAGAATGAGTCTGGTCACCAGGAAGACCAAGTGATTAGAGGGGTTGCTACTTTCAGCCCCACGCACCTTGGAAGGGGAAGGGGTGGGGTGGGCGTGGGGTGCTGCTGATTAAGCTCTATGAAAAGTCTTGACCAACAAGATCGATGTTTCCAGGTTGGTGAACACATCCATGTGCTTGTAGGGTGGTGCACCCTTGTTCCATGTGAACCCTTCCAGACTTTGCCCTATGTACCTCTTCATCTGGCTCCTCTTCTGTATCCTTTATAATAAACTGGTAAATGTAAGTCAATGTTTCTCTGAGTTCTGTGAGCTACTCTAGCAAATTAATGGAACCCAAGGAGGGTATTGTGGGAAGCTTCCATCTGTAGCCAGTCAGAAGCACAGATGATGATCTGGACCTTCCATTGACGTCTAAAGTAGGGGGAGGGCAGTTTTGTTACTGAGCCTGTGGGATCTGACGCTGTCTCCAAGTAGATAGTGTCAGAATAGAGTTAAATTGTAGGATACTCAGCCAGTGTCTACTGAGAATTGGAGAATTGGCTTGGTGGTGTTGGAAAAAAACTTTAGAATGTGTACTCCGTTGTGAGATAATTGGGATCCTCCATACATTGTGTGTACTTAAGTTGTGCTCTTATAAAAAAAGTTGAGATTGAATCTAAGATTGTGTAGGACAACAAATTTCCATTATAGTCATTAATTAGATTCCTCGAAAGTAGTGATTTTTAAATTCCCCCTCTTTTATCAAAGCCTCTCCGAGAATGTGAGGGAAGATATCTATGTTGAAAAATTACACATGTACAAAGTTAGAAATTTCATATAGAAGGTTAGAAATTTCAGGTCCCTCAATTTAAAAGTTCTGCTACACTACAGAACTTCATAGCTGAACATTCCAGTTTCTTCTAATAAACATCCAAACCCAATAAGCTTTCATCCTGCGTATTTTCTAACAGCTTTATGTAAGTATAATTAACATATAAACTGTACATGTTTAAAGTGTACAATTTGAACAGCTTTGATGTGTATATACTCATGGAGCCATGAGCACAATCAAGAAATGAACATGGCCGTCACTCCAGTTTTCCTAGTGTCCTTTGTAATTCTTGCCTTCTGTTCCACTCCCCAACTCCCGATAACCACTGAGTTGCTTTCTGTTGCTATATTTTGCTTTCATAGGATTTTATACAGTTACGTGGCACAATTATTTTATGACATTTCATTGTGTGTATCAATCGTTCAGACCTTTTTATTGCTGAATAGTATTCCACTGTGTAGTTGTATCACTGTGTGTTTATCCATTCTGTTAGTGGACCTTTGGGTTGTTGTCAGTTTTTAGTTATTACAAATGAAGCTGCTAGAACATTCACATGTAAGTGTTTGTGTAAATATTTGTTTTCATTTCTCTTGGGTAAACCAAGAAAACCAAGGATTGGAATAGCTGGGACGTATGGTAAGTGTAGATAGAAGTTTTTAAGAAACTGGCAGATGTTCACAGTGGTTGTACCATTTCACATTCCTACTATTGATGTACAATGGTGTTGCTCCACAATCTTGCCAACAATTGGGCTGGTCACTCTTTGATTTTAGATATTGTAATAGGTGTCTCATTGTGGGTTTAATTTGCATTTCCCTAATGACATGATGATAAGTGTCTTTTTGGGTGCCTGTTTGCCATCCTTATATCTTGGCAAAGTGTTTCGTCAAATCTTTTGCTCATTTTTAATTGGGTTTTCTTATGATTGAGTTTCAAGAGTTGTTTATTTTGCATATAAGCTATGTATCAGATATGTTATTTGCAGTTATCTCCCAGTCTGGCTTGCCTTTTCATTCTCTTAACAATGTCTTTTTAGAAGATTCTGTCTATTTTTAATGCACTTTTTAATTTATAGCTGGCCGAATACAGGGACATCAGTGAGTGAGTTTTGGCTAATCACATAGTTAAATTTACTTAGCAGAAACCCAGAGAGCCTCCGTATATAATTGATGTGTACTGCTCTTAATATCCATGTAGTTTTCTGATCACTAACCCAACCTTGCTTGGAATATGCTTCATAGGAGCGGAATTTTTTGTTTGTTTTTCCTTAACAGAGAAACCTGATGTCAAAGTATAATTTTAGAAAGTTAAGAACAACTCATATAATTATATAGTGCATACTCGTCAAAGATTTATTTAAGTCAGTCATTAAGGCACCAGCAGGCTACCAAGCTGATTCAAAAGGATCTTGAGACCGGGAGATTGTGCTGGATGATCCAGGTCAGGCTAAGTGTAATCCCAAGGGTCCTTATAAGAGGGAGGCACAGGAGGATCAGCATCAGGAGTAGGAGAGGTGAGGACAAAAGCAAGAGGAGGGAGATGAGGAAGGGGCCGGGAGTCCGGGAATGCTGGAGGCCTCTGGAAGCTGTGAAAGGCAAGGAATCAGATTGTCCCCTGAGCCCTCCAGAGCATGGAGCCCTGCTGGCACCTTGATTCTAGACTATGGTTCTGGAAGGCATTTTGTTGTTTTGAGTCACTAACTTTGTGGTTACTTGTCAGAGCAGCAGAGGAAACTCATGGAGGACCATTCGTTTCCCAGATGATTACAGATAAGTGACCTAGAGAAGGGCAAGCAGAGATTTTACTTCGGAGAAGCAGTCACTTTGTGGTTTCCATGGCTCTTACACCCAGAAAAAGCGATTTCGGTATTCATTGAATTTTATAAATCTTAAAACCTAATTTTGCCTTACATTTTTAAGTTCCACTTATAAATAACTGCTAAAGTGGACTAAATTATTTATTAAGAGGTAAATTTAGGGGCCGGCTCCGTGGCCGAGTGGTTAAGTTCATGCACTCTGCTGCGGTGGCCCAAGGTTCGGATCCTGGGCACGAACATGGCACTGCTCGTCAGGCCACGTTGAGGCGGCGTCCCACATCTCACAACTAGAAGGACCTGCAACTAAGATATACAACTGTGTACAGGGGAGGTTGGGGAGATAAAGCAGAAAAAAAAAAAAAAAAGATTGGCAACAGTTGTTAGCCCAGGTGCCAATCTAAAAAAAAAAAGAGGTAAATTTATTAAGAGATAAATAATTTAGTCCACTTTAACAGTTGTTTTTAAGGAGCTTATTAGTCCATAATTAAACATAGTTAATTAAATTGTCTTAAACAATTTTGAAGTGTATTTAAAAATATATGTGAATATTTTAAATACTTTCTGACTAAACCTTCCCAGGTATTTAGACAATTTTAGAAAATCTAACAAATTTATTTAATGTAATAGATCCTCATTTTCTTAAATATTCACACTTAGCAAATTTTCTTTTAATTCAAAACCAACAAATTTAAAATAAGTTATACATTTATGCATTTTAAGTGGGAATCATAAATTAGTATATTCGCTTCTTTAATATGACAAATCTATGACATAGTCTACATCCAGAACAGGTGTAGGTTATTCTTAATCCTGACACAAAAGCATTATACTATGGGTTTGGTTTACTTCATCCTTCATATGTTGATTCTTGGTTTAAAAGACCCTTCTTTGCTTAAAAAGTCCCTTCCCACTGAGAATACCATTGTATAGTCCTAAACAAAGTTGACTTCCCATCTCAGTCGACTGAGATTTTTGACCTGAGATTTTTAGGGGGATTTCCAGACTTGGTGCTGTCGTCATCCAAGAGGATTCTTCTGCAACGGAAACAAATACAAGCTGAGTTCTATAACAATAGAGAATCCATGCCTTCCAAATGGGGTGGGTTATTTCATCACTTCTTTCAAGTTAATCACCTTATTTTGGTAGATGACATTGTGCTTACTCAAAGTTAGGATGCTTCCTACTTGGCAGGAATCATCTAATCTCTGTTGCTTGATTCTATTCTGAATTATTTTCATATTCTATTTAAATTACAGCTGATTGAATTCTGCCTATCGAAGGAATGGGATCATTTCTGGCACTGGATCCAGTTGCTGGGCCAACAGGAGATGGGAAGCCACATATAGACAGTTCTGGGGAATTGCTTGATAGATGAGATGCAAGCCACAGTATTCAAGAATGTGTTTGAAAGGATCAGAAAACTAATTGTCCTAAGCTAATAATAACATCCATCATTCTGAGCATTCCACACACGTGCGGCCCAATGCTAACCACTCTATTATGCTAACTTGTTCTTCTACAACTGCCTCATGAAAGTAAATGTGTGTATTCCTGTTTTTCAGTGAGGGAAGAGTTTCAGAAAGGTAGAGTGACCTGCCCAAAGTCACAAGGAAGCAGCAGAGCCAGGATTCAAAACAGACACATGTGCTTCTAAAGCTACAACCACGGAGAAGTTTCTAGGAACTTGAGCTCTGGCT